ATCCCCCAAATACAGGATTCCTTTCCATGTTTGGTGGTCCCAACACGCAACAGTCTCAATCCCAAACAGGATCTCCTCTAGGGGGATTTCTGCCTGGGTCATCAAGTACAACTGAAAGCCCAATGAAGGGACTGTTGTCAATGTTTAGTGATCCCAGTCCTCCACAGACTCAACCACCAACGTCACCATCTCAACAAAGAGTAGCTCAATCGCAAACTCAACGACAAGGGGAACCTCAAACACAATCTAAACCACAAACACAGCCTCAAGCACAAGGGCAGCCAGTCACCTCTGTTCTTGGGGGGATATTTGGTGGCTTGTCTTCCTCTAGTGAAAGTCCAAGAAAAGCTTTGTTCTCCATGTTTAGTGGTCCCAGTGCTCCTCAGACACCAGGAGCTGGTGGAAGTGCAAATATGTCTACTTCCACAGAGACTGCAGGACCCAAAGAACCTGCAAAGAGTATACTCTCTGTTTTTAATGATGTGTCACCTCCACAGCAGACTCCCAGTTCATTATCTGCTATTGTTGGCAATATTAAAGAGCCACCAACTACTAATTTCCAACAAGGTTCTTCTCAAATGACATCTGTTTCCAGTAGCCATGTCCCAGAGACAGCAGGTACCAGAGAAATATCAAGTGAAGTGTCTGTTGGGCCATCCACTGATACTACTATAGATACCACACTGGGTCCCACAATTAAAAGCACTGCTATTGCTTTGAAGGAACCGAATTCAGAATGTGTCACAGTGCAAAAGGAAACAAGCATAGAAGGTGTACCCCAGGATCCTGCTCCCTCTAAAGATCCACCAACTTCCGGACTTCTGTCAACGATCAGTGGATTAGGCTCACAGGCTCCATCCTCACAAGCTGGATTAATTTCAGACAGTCCAGGAAAAGGTTTGCTTTCATTATTTTCTGGGCCCAGCACTGTAAGTCCTTCACCCACAGGGTCTGCACCTGGACCATCAGGTCCCAATGACCCACCAGCCAAAGGCTTGTTCTCTGTGTTGGGAGGTTCTGCCCCTCAGCCCTCTTCTCAGCCTGGAAGTTCTATATTAGGGGCAATGTTTGGAGGCTCTTCACCCCAAACAGCTTCTCAAACGGGGGGATCATTCCTAGGTGGTTTATTTGGAGGTTCTGCTCCCCAGGCTGCTCCTCAAAGTGGTCCCGCCAAGATTGGAGGCCCTGCTCCTCAGACAGCAGAACCTCAGGCAGGGGCATCCTTACTTGGAGGGTTATTTGGCGGATCTGGTCCCCAGGCTGCTGGATCACAGACTGGAGGGTCTATTTTGGGTGGGATTTTCGGAGGATCAGCAGCTTCAACTACAGCACCTCAGACTATTGGGTCCTTTGGTGGAATGTTTGGTGGGGCAACCTACCAAACTTCAACATCCTCAAATAGTAGTTCTAAATTTGAAGGTATTTTGGGGGGATCATCATCTCAAACAGTTACTGCACAGACTGGTGCATCTAATCTGGGTAACATTTTACCTGGAGCTTCTGCTCCTAATAAGACACCTGATAAAAGTTTGCTTTCAATGCTTGGAGGATCTGCTGCACCTGCAACTCCCACTGCAGTAGCTACTCCAAATCAACCAAATGATTACGGCAAACCTGCTCTAGCTGGTCCTGAAACATCTCTAATCGACACTGCTACTACAAGCAAAGAGCAGACAGAAACACTGCAGCGACCTGACAGTTCAGTTCAGTGTCTCGAGGTAAGCTTAGCCAAAACTCATGGCAATGCCATCAAAGAAGTTCATCGCCAAGATGCCACGAAGCCAGCTGGTTTAGTTGATGATATTCAGTCTAAACAATCTGAAAATTGTGAACAAGAAAAAACACCTGCTAGACCAGAGCTTGTGAGTGGTCAGTCGAGTCAAGATACAATACCACCTAAAGTAGAAGAGGAAACACAAGCTGCTCAGTCAGCAAGTGCTGTGGTCGAGGGACCTCAAAAGCTTCCAGAGCAAGAGAAATCTGTTGGTGACTCGTCTGTAGATACAGTTACAGGCTTTATGTCCTCCCTTTTCAAACCAACAGTTGCTCCCACTGAAGGACCTCAGCAACAGCAGAAGAGCTCACTTTTTGGTCTTGGAGGAACAGCACCCCAAAGTGCTACTGTTCCGCCTGGAGCATCACAATTAGGAGGAATTTTTGGAGGGCCTAACACAGAGACCGCAGCTCCCCAGACAGGGCTGTCATTACTGGGAGGTTTATTCAAGGGGTCTGCTCCTCAGTCTGGTTCTCAAACCACTGCCCCTGCCACTGGAGGGTCAATATTAGGTGGGATGTTTGGAGGAGGATCCACTGCCAAGTCTGTAGGTCCCCAGACTGGTGGATCATTACTAGGTGGGATGTTTGGAGGATCTACGGCAACAGCACAGCCTGGTGGTTCTTTACTTGGAGGAATGTTTGGAGGAGTCCCTGCTCAGACTGCAGGATCACAGACTGGAACATCAATACTTGGGGGTATAGGCGGGTCTTTATTTGGTGGTATGGGACAACCACCTAAGCCATCTGAACCAATGCCAGCTGAGCCCAAGCCAACGCCTGGTACTGCTCCACCATCACAGATTAAGAATGATAGTTCGCCACCAAAAGTATCTCCATCTGACACTGAGACTAGCCCAAATAAAATAGTGGACTCAAATCTACCAGATAACGATCAAGTAAAACCTGGCTGCCTAACAAGTAATAGTGCCATGGAATCTGAGGCTGCTTGTCCAGAAACCTCTGCTGTAACAAGTGATTCAATAAGCACTGCATGTGACCTCACTCATCAGATAGATAACACTGAAAAAGAAAGGTCAGCTGTTGAGGGAGAGGTGATACAGGAGAAGCCTGTGGTCATTAAAGAAGACCCTGAGAGTAAAGAAAGTGACAAATCAGCCCCACCTGATACCCAAGAAACAAATAGTAATATAGCTCCTCCAGCTAATCAGTTGCCCAACAATGCAGAGCCACCTCAAGCTAAGTCTCTGTTTGGTTTTATATCGACACAGAGTGATACGGGAAAGTCTTTTGGATCCCTGTTTTCACCAACAATGCCGTCAGCTGCTCTGTCAATGCCTCAAACAGAAGGAGGCAGTGGTCTGTTTTCAGGATTAAAAACACTTTCTGGAGGCCTGTTTCAAGAGGAAAAACATGCTGCTGGAAAACAACAGCCACCCACCACATCATTATTTGGAACAAAAATAAGTTTTCCTTGGCAGGCAGAGCCACCCAAGCCACAAGCTGTCCCAGTTATAACATCTCAACCCAAAACTAACAGCACGCCAACAAGTGATCAAACACATACTGTACAACAAAAAGTTGCAACATCTGATGCCCAAAAAGCTGAATCGGTAGGTTCCACAGATGATATAACAAACACCCAGATTTGCATCTCCACTCCTGAAGTAGACCCTTCAGCATCCCTAACCCCCAAGGAGAAGGAAAGGCTTGTAGAAACATACCCTCCTGCAGGTCCTATCTCTGGAGTGCAGCTGGACAACCAGTCCCAGAAGGATCTATTGAATGCAAAAAGGCTAGTAGAAGCATAATAAATGGCATTCTCCTTCACCATTTATGATGCATTGACAGCTTGAAAAAATGTATTCCCTGTCCAGCTCTGCAATCCATCTCACTAGTTTAATTTAATATTTAGCGTGAGAGTATGTTCTATGTGTGCGTGTGTATTCTTTGATATGGGTATTTTGTGTGCAGCATTTACATAATTTTGCATGTCATTGCAAAACAGAATTCCAAAACAAAATGTACATATTTATATAATAATGGGCAATTCACAAGTGAATGTGCTTAATCATTCATTAATTCAATAAAGAGGGATACTTTCTTGTGCTACTCCTCTCATAGTTTGAGACTGATTTATGGATTGCCTGAACTTAAATGATGTTAATTTTGATTATTGTCATCATAGTTCTGCACTTACAAATGAGGTAAAGTAATATCTTCTGCAAATGCATATGTCTCAGCAACTGTTTTTGAACTATTCTTCTCTTTTTAGTTTGTCAAGAGGCATATTTATCAAATCAAATATAAGCATGACTACATGCAACATTATAAATAATGTAAATTTTGTTTAAGCATGGAATTCTGATTTTTGTTGTGTATTATTTGATATGGTGAAAATTATTTAGAATTGTTGATCTATTTTTGGAAATAAAATATTGTAAATCCTTACCATTTAACCAAGAAATTCAAATGTTACAAATGTAGCTAATCTGCCCCTAAAAATGAAATGAAATCGGTTATTTTATTTTATTAAAAGGTAAAATTTAAAAAACATAGATCAACTCTGCATATTTTACTGTCCACGTTCATCTGTACTTCATCCCCCTTGCCCTTCATAAGCTTACTAACCATCGTACACTGTATCTGTTCTGTCTTGTGGACAAGTGAAAGGAAAAACATTGGCAATAAAATATGCAGATGTAATAGTAGTTGAGAAATATACACTTTTTTAGTAAGGACTAGTAGTTACTGGGGATTATATACCTCACATCACAAAATAGAGCATACTCTTGTGTGCCATTTCTAATTGGAAATGCAACTCTATTGTAGAAAAAGAATTTGCGGTGTATAATGCACATGCTAACACATTGATACAATTTTCATTATTTTTCAACATGCAACAGCCTCCATGCAAGGTTGGGTATCTTTTGAGGGCATGATGTGGTGTGTGTATGCTATACCAATGAAAATTGGTAGAGGTTATCAATAAAAGTAGACATTTACTAAATAGTTACATAGTGTTTTCAAATAATTCTTAGTAGATGGGTGGGGTTTATTACAACCCAAAAATTATTGTTTCATGTGCATTGACACTATTTCTAAAATAAAGAAGTACTTAAAATGTTCCATGTAACAATCCCCACGTATCTAACCTTGGCTAGAGGAAAAATGTAAACCACAAAAATGTTTAGAAATAGTTTTTCACCCAATTAAAAAAAATATTCTGATTGAATATTTTCCTGACTCCTCTCTCACCATTTTAGTCCAGTGGAAAGTAGTCGCTTTGGGTCATCAGGAAACCTGAGCCAGACCAGCTCCCAGCTTAGTGAGACTGGCCAGGAGAGCACTGGAGGGTCAGAACTGGAGGAGTCCTACCATTCCTACCACAGTACCGGCTTTCAGCCCTCCATCAATGGTCAGCGACGCACCAATGGACATCTTCCCACCAACAGACACTCTACTTTCAGTGAGAAGGATATACATAGGATGTCCCCTGAAGTAGGACGAGGCCTGAAAAATGACACACAATCAGAGAGAGGTTCTTCTAAACTTCAAAGGTATGGTTTTGCTCAGAATTCTACTCAGTTTTGTATGTGCTATGATGTAGGTGCATGGGAACTGAGAGATCTTTCTGCCATTCTACTCTTAAATCCATGTAACTCAGGTTCCACGATGAAGGGGTGCCATTACCCTTTTCCCCATCCAGAGTTCGTTGGTTGAAGGCCATCAATAAAGTCAGGGTTCAGCTCCGGGAGGTAGGCAGTGTTTCACTTCACCAAGATCTGTTATCTCTCACTTCTGAAGACTGACTTTCTTACCATCTTCTTTCCTACCCTACCACACATACACAAAGATTACACATAATACATGCACATATAAACACTCACAATTCTTTGAAAACGGTTGAGTTTGACCTCTTTGGTTGTTTAATATAATGCACTAAAATGTATTAGATTAATATTAAAGCTGCAGCTGTATGCCCACATGGTTACACTCATTCATTCTTGGGAGCTGTGGAGTACACAGACAGACTTTTGAACATTGGCAATTTAAGGATTCAGTGCCTTATCAAAGGCACCCCAGAAAGAATTTTCAAGTTAAAGAGGTGGTATTATGCTCATTTTCAGGTTCAAAATCTTAATTAGGGGTTGTACCAGGACAGGTTTCCATGGTTTAATTTTCAAAAAACACCATATTTTTCTCATACTGCACATTGCTGCAGCTCAACTTTTCACCCTATGTGTTGTACGCTCCGCTCTTGAGCTACAGAGTGATGCATCTTACTTGTACAAAATCTTTGTTGGGAGTTGCACATGCGCAGTTCCCAGGTAAAGACTACTTGCCAATCAGAAGCAGAGAAGGGCGGGTCGCAAGAAACAAGGTAGTGTGATCCAAATCAAAGCTGCTTCAGACTGCGACCGTAACCTAGCAGATGGTATAAGTTGCTCACAAGTCCACAACCACACAACATCATTGTTCCACATCTTATCTTAAACCACTACAAAAATCACCATATTTCTACTCAATTTTACATAAAAATTGGCCAAACAATTTGAACGTTTGCTCAGTAGCTTTCACATCGGGTGTAACATTAGCTTTATAGCTATAACTTTAGCTGTGTTAGCCAACGTTTACAACAACTCCGCACTTGTCACCAACAGTCTGTGAAGTTACATTGCCGTGTTTATTTTAAATATAATTCACAACCAATAAAGCATACTTTCAGGTACTGATTGTGAATTTCCAGGCCCAAACAGAGTCGGAGTTGCATCGTCTTTTAGGACTAAACGTTGAACTGTAGCCAGTGTTCCGACGATCTATGCTGCCTTGCCGAAAAATGCTACCATAGCACAAATCGATAGACTCAACTCTACTTGTCCCTGCTCCGTTTTCCATTGCAGATAGCACCCAGAGATGGTACGTAGCTTGTTGTCATAGTGATGCCACACACAACTGCCGTGACGTAATGTTCGATGTGACACACACACCAGCGATCCACACAGCTTTCTCTTCAACATTCCTCAAAATGTAAAGACAGATAAGCGGTATGAAAACCTTCCAGCTGTGTTTCGTCTGCCGTTGTTGCTGCAGCGGTCTGTGTGACGGTGGGAGCAGAGGGCTCTGTGAGCGAGCGGCTGGCCGGCCTCACACGCTCCTCCTGCGGTTGGTACAGGCTTCCCCCGCAGCAGAGCTCCTCAACACCAAAAATATTCAAACTCATTTTTGTTCCGCCATCACTTCTCGTAAAACTGTCAATATTCGAAATCTACACAGTTGATTTCTCACCTCAAAACTTCTCAGAAGTGGATTTAGTGATGAAATTCCATACGAAAATGTAAAATATAAAACTTTCTGTTGCTGGCCTCTGTCTGGCACATGCAATGATGATGCAGTGAATAGTGCAGTCTGTCGTGTTTTCATGTTACATTTTAGTATCCCTCAGCTCGCTTGGAACCTCGATGGAGGTGAAACTAAAAAAAGTACCTGGAAGCAGGTACAGGTACTATATTTCTACAATGGAAACCCAAACAAAGGCGAGTTGAGCCAAAGGGCCTCCGCTCAGACTAGCTTGGTTTGAGGGCGTGCCTGACCCCGCTAGCCACTTGGCAAGCTTTATGACGCGTTTTCATTGTGACGTCACAAGTAAAGGAAGTGAAGGGCTGGACTACAAACGAGCTGTTTTCAAGCGGTTCAGAGCAGAGCTTTCTGTGGGAGATGGGAACTCCCTTTGGGCTTTTTCACTTTGCAAACCTGTTACATGCACAAAAAAGAGATATAACTCGATAAAGGATAGGGGAAAAGCCAAAAAGCATAATGCCACCTCTTTAAGGGGGAGATTATTTGTGTCAACACTTTTTTTTTTAAGGAAATGCTTAATGAACAAAGATCTTAAAGGTGCTGTAGAATGGTAAACCGTATTTCCCTTGGCATAGTTGAGTAAAAACAGTTCAGTGCATGTAGCTGACATACCGTGAGCCTCAATCTCCAATGTTTCTCCTTCATATGTAAATCTCGCGCACCCAAAATACTCCCTAAAGAAGTTCAAATTCCTAACCGCTAGCTGTTGCTAACAGTAGCTCCTGTTATCAGCTGGCTCTGAACCAGCGGCCCAAAGCTTCTGTAGTAATGTTAGAGGTGTAAACACCAACACATCTTGGGAGCATCAAGCATCCAATCCGGGCAGAATCAGCAATAGGAGGGCTAGCTTCCTGTCCTGGGCATGACAAAAATAATGGGGTGTTTATTTGTGCCAGAGTTTTAACAATCTAATATGTGGGAAGGATATAAGGGATAAATAGGTGGAGCAATTACATCATCAGAGTAGTTTAACTTCTAAATAATTTCACATTTGTGTGTACTGTATCATTTTCAGACAAAGTTATTGACTACATGAGTAATATGTGATAGTCTGTACCATATGGAGCCCCTACTTTTTCTGAAAAATACAGATTTAGGCAATGATTTGTCAGCACATCTAATGTCCTTATCATAAAAAGCTCTGTCAAGTCATATTTGGCTTTTGGTGTCCAAATCAGAAGCCACAGAGCCTCATATTAAACCACTGTAAGGCTACTAATCTATAATACCAATTCTGGAGAATTTGTATCCAGTGCATCTCAAAAGACATTGACTAATCCTGCATCTAAGTTCAACTGGAAATCTTTAATGGGTGGTCATAATGAAAACATCTGAATCTCTTAGCCCTCAGGTTCATCCCCTTGATTAAGCTTTTTATGGCACAGCATTAAAGGAGTAGCTCAAATACAACCTTGCTTGGCTCCATTATGATGATTGGTTTGCATGGACTGGTTGAGACGAACATGTACTGTAAATGATGGCTGATTGAAGACATGAATATCAATGGATAGCAAGGTAAAAGCTGTCTAAGTGCAATTTATGACAGGAGGAAGGGAAACACCTAAGACACAAATCTAAAAGCTGAGAAGACTGAAAGTAATGAATTACAGTTGATGGTTAATATGCCTAACAGTATAACAGTGACCAGCATAATAGGAGTGCTAATCCTAATGCCCTCACATGCTTGCTTACATTCAGTTCAGTTTCAATATTTATATTTGACATGACTGGGCTGCAATCTTTACAAAAATTCCATTGTCTTTACAATTTTCTATTAATAAGGCAATGATGTAAATAAGCACAGGGAATCCATTGCTAACAAATATGTTTATCAGGAGTCTTACAAATATCAGCAACTGGCAGAAGTGGAAACAGAAAAAGAGTCAATGAGACTGAAGGCTGGCAGTCTTACAGCCTCAGATTAGCTTTGTGCTAGAATACACTGCCAGAGGACACAAGGAGAGAGAGCAGAGAAAGCATGCAAGAGGGTGGGAGGGAAGTAGGGATGGCTACTTAACCGAGGGTGAACTGCTGTGTGATCGTGGTCTACCACTGTCACGCTTGCCGTTCCAGTGCTAGAAATGAGGGATTCAGCACTTCTACGTTAGTTCAAGAAGATCTGCTGGTTTGATTGCGGCAAAGCAAGATATTCTGTAATACATCTGGGTATACATATTCAAGAAAGACTGAGATATTACTCTTACTGATCTACTCAGCCACCTTTCATGCGGATTTAATGGATCTTGCAAGGTGATATCTACAGGTTGTTCGTAATTATAATTTTTTCTTAAAAGGTAAGGCTTACATTTTAATGTATTTCTGTCCTTCTATGTACTTAGTCTTAGCTTTGTGTAGACTCTGAGTAAATACATGTAATACATGGGAATACATGTTATAGTGTATGAAGGCTTTTTTTTCAGTACTCAGTTGTTCAAAGCTAATGTCATTCTTTGATAAGAAGTCCGCTTCAAAACTTCAAAAGCAATTTTTTTTTATCCAGGCCACAGACCATTTAGTAAGGAGAGAAAAGAGATTGCTGCAGGCTATTACTATGACTGGCCTAGAAAACCTAACCCTAACCAGACCCTCAACCTTTCTTAATCCTGGACAGTTAATTGGTAAATCACTGACTATTAGAGTGCACACATCAGCCATTGGATCATTGCTGTGCCAGTCATCCCTCAGAAGTGCAGTAAATGTTTTTTTTTTATTATATATCAGAATCACTTTTATTGCCAGGTATGAGTACACATACGCGGAATTTGACTTTGGATTGTACATTGCTCACAGTGTGCTTACTCATACAAAAATACAAAATCACAATAATTAAAATAAAATACAATAAATATGTAATGTGTTATGCAACAAATTTAATTAGCCTGTTGTTCCTGTTCATATTTATTTTTGAAAAGTTTTTAATTAAGTCATCGGAAATGACATTTATTTAGATATGTAGATATTTTAATTGGAGGCATAATTCATTTAATTAATTTCAGATTACATATATGTGATATGCTCATTAGCTTCATTTCAAATTCAGTAGTGATACGAAAACATATTCTGATTGGCTAGATTTTGTCTAACCTGTATCAGGCTAACACACACCTTCAGTGCTCAAGTGCTTATTGGGAGCTCCAGTCCAGGGATGGGTTATTGTAGTTAGAAACTATACACTCTCTGGGATAATTTACTTAATGGAATAGGGAATCCACTTACCAAAATCTTAACAAAAACAGTGGAGGAAAATACCTATAAATCAGCATGCACCCTTCTTAATCCATAGTATGAGGCAGTTAAAAAAACACGGTGTGTGTGTGTGTGTGTGTGCGTGTATGTTGTAATTAAAACCTCTGTGCGAGTTTCATTTTAAGAGCTGTAGCCCCATTTTTTTGTTGTAGAGAGAGAGCGATAAAAGAAACGATAATAATAATTTTATTTATTTTACAATAATAATGATGTTATATTGTAAACATGGTGTTGAATAGTTAATTCAGTTAAAAGTATCAATAAATTCCTGATATTGGATTCTCTAATTTCCTGATATGATTATCTACCTGATGATGCTCAGTGGGTGAAGATGATATCATTGAGCTCTAATACATACTAAGAATAAATTAGAGTGCGGCATAGCAGCTTGCCTATCCTGATTACACATGCGGGCAATGCACCTTGTAAATTATTACAAGCTGTATTATTGTTATACAGCTTGTATAACAGTATAAATTTGCTGTCCCCTCAAAATCACATCACACAGCAATTAATGTCTAAACCGCTGGCAAGAAAAGTGAGGACTCTAAAGGCTCGTGCAGACTACACGACTTTCAGCGTCAGCCGATGGCCGTGCCATTCACACTACACAACTTGTCGTCTTGTGACGGGAGTCTTGAAGTCGTTGTGGCGTTCACACTGTGTGACTGATCGGTGACGAGGGGTCACAGACTACACGAGCTGACAACGACTCTGTCACTCGACGCTGGTCTCCAAACCACATTTTGTCAAGAAAACACATGAAATGCTGGAAGGGAGTAAAAAGGGTTTTGGAGTGAAAAAGTAACTGCCTGCTCTTCTAGCTTCCTGCTCTCATTGGCTAGATGTGGATGTCGAGTTGGCCAGCTCCTCCAGATATTTGGCATGCTAGATATCTGGCAGACGTTGGCGATGTGGTGATGATGTGTCAGGGAGCCGTTTTGACGTGTCGTTGAGTAGTTCACACATAACGACTGGCGACCGGCGACCACCTGCTGATTTACTCCCGATCTTAGCCTGACAGTCGCTGAGGGGCAAATCGAGCTAAAAATCATGTAATGTGAACTAGGCTTAAGTGAAAATGTCCAAATTGGGCCCAAGTAGCCTCCCTGGTGTCATGTGACTCATTAGTGTTACAAGGTCTCAGGTGTGAATGGGGAGCAGGTGTGTTAAATTTGGTGTTATCGCTCTCACACTCCCTCATACTGGTCACCGGATGTTCAACATGGCACCTCATAGCAAAGAACTCTCTGTGGATCTGAAAAAAAGAATGGTTGTGCTAAAAGACGGCCTAGGCTATAAAAAGATTGCCAAGACCCTGAAACTGAGCTGACCATACAGCGGTTCAGCAGGACAGGTTCCACTCAGAACAGGCCTCGCCATGGTCGATCAAAGAAGTTGAGTGCACGTCATTTCCGCACATTATCTTAGGGAAATAGACGAATGAGTGCTGCCAGCATTGCTGCAGAGATTGAAGGCATAGGGGGGCAGCCTGTCAGTGCTCAGACCATACACTGCACACTGCATCAAATTGGTCTACATGGCTGTTGTCCCAGAAGGAAGCCTCTTCTAGATGATGATGCCTGCAAACAGTTTGCTGAAGACAGACAGACAAGGATTACTGGAGCCATGCCCTGCGGTCTGATGAGACCAAGATAAACTTATTTGGTTCAGATGGTGTCAAGCATCAGACCTAAACTTAGTGAGCATCTGTGGGGCATCATCAAATACAAGGTGGAGGAGCGCAAGGTCTCTAACATCCGCCAGCTCTGTGATGTTGTCATGGAGGAGAGGAAGAGGACTCCAGTGGCAACCTGTGAAACTCTGGTGAACTCCATGCCCAAGAGGGTTAAGGCAGTGCTGGGAAAAAATGGTGGCCACACAAAATATTGACACTTTGGGCCCAATTTGTACATTTTCACTTAGGGCTGTACTCACTTCTGTTGCCAGCGGTTTAGACATTAATGGCCGTGTGATGTCTTATTTTGAGGGGACAGCAAATTTACGCTCTTATACAAGCTGTACACTCACTACTTTACATTGTAGGAAAGTGTCATTTCTCCAGTGTTGTCACATGAAAAGATATAATCAAATATTTACAAAAATGTGAGGGATGTACTCACTTTTTGAGATACTGTATATACATAAAATAAAATTTGTCTTAACGATTGACGATTGTCAAGTCTTCATCTTCATGAACTCTTTAACTCAAGTGCAGCCACTGGTAACTGAACTATTGAGTTGTCATGGTGGAAGAGGATAGCATCCACCGTGAATGGCTTCAGCATTGTCCTCTGGTCAGTGGTTTTTCCCAGCAACGCTAAAGTTCATTCCGCTTCTGCTGCTAGCTGGAATGGCCAAAATGCCCTGAGTGCACCTAGCTCAAATAGGGTAGCCCAGCCAACATGACTGAATCCAACCTGAACCAGTCGGCCAATTATTCAGGCCGATATCTGGCATTTTGATATAATTGGTATCGGCCGATGTCTGCACTCACAAGCCCGTTTAACAAAAGCCGTCCTGCTTTCCAGATATCTGCATCAGCCATAGTAAACCTGAAATAGTAAATCTGTTGACCACTAATATTCAAATAATTTCTCATCCTGTGCCCTTTCTATTTTGTAAACAAGACCATGTTTAATATCTTTACCAAGCGGATGACCTGCAGAAATACATTTTGATACACATGTTGACTGCACACCTTCCTGGCTTATGTAATGTCATTAGATAGATTTATGTTACACCGAGGTATTCAATAATCCCTCCAGTGTGTACACTGTAGTTGATGGGTCAGAGTTATCAAGCCATGCAGCTGGTATGGGTGTGAAAGAATGACATGGCCTTAAAGGAGAGAATTGACCTGTCATCTAATTACTGAGCTGCCCTTCCAAAGTATCCTAATTACAGACATCTAAGCAGCTGCATGTTGTTCATTCTGCAAGTTGCTACTCTGACTGAGAGGATGTCAGTTAAAGCAATACTGTCTACACTACTGAGTAGCGTTGTCTCTCACAGTGACCTTAAATATCAGTTTAAGATTTTATATGTGCTTAAATGTATTAAACTGACTCTTTCATCTGCAAGTAAAGCAGCAAATTGCATTTTTTTAAACAAATACATTTAGTACATTGTATAGTTTAATGTAGTTTAAATGTAATTACCTTGTAATCAAGGTGTCAGAAGTTAGAATTATGTTTTTCTCTCAACTTTCTGGTCTGTTGGTCATAAAAATAAAATTCCACTAAATTAAAAAGAAATACGATTAATGATTAAACTATACATTTGCTTCTCTGCTTTTCCATTCCATTAGTTTAGTTAAAATGAAAAATGTGAATTTGATAACTGAGAAAATGCATTCCTCCTTTTTATGTTGCACAAGTAGCACACAAGTTGCTTCCTCATTTGGTAGTTTAATAATTAAGTCTGGTTGAAATTTTATGGCAGTGACATAGAGAGACACGGCAGACATGGTGAACTACCAACCTAATGAGCAAATACAAATGAGATTCATATTTGTAATGTAATGTAATTGACACCCAACAAATACGGATCAGTGCTCCGAGTTTTCACTGCTTTAAAATGTTGGCTTATGCTTACACCACTTTAAGGAGGAGTCACTGAGGCAGTGGTTTGTCCATGTGTGGGAACAGCTGATCAAGAGTGCCACTTCCCAGGGATGTTGCCCAGAGGACACATCAGTGGACAGGATGAACCCTACAAATCAGAGCTACTTTCGCCCAAGAGGGGAGACCTACAGAAGAAGAGATCACAGAGCCCTAAAGTGGGGCAAAGCCTGCGCAGAAAGCTACAGACGTGCCTGCAGGGGCCAGAGGATAACTCCATTCATGACTTGTCATCAGACAACACTACCTGCACCAAAGCTGACCTAAACCCGTCTGGGGAAAGCAGCAGTTCAAATTGCCAGGATGGTATTGGGGCTGTGAAAGATGCTCTACCTAGGCTTATTGAAAGGATTAGAAATGAAGAAGAGAAGGAGGAGATGGAGAATGAGGCGCCAGAAAGAGGGTCTAGTAACATAGTGGAACATATCCTGAAAGAGCTTAAAGGCATTAACAAGATCCAGGAGGAAATTTCTGACCTGAGACAGTATCTAACATCTGTGCGAGGCTCAGTGGATGAAGTATCTTGTTGTGTTGATGCAGTGCTTAGTGAAATAGGTGAGCTGTACTCTGGGGCTTCAGCTGCACCTCATCCTAGTCCTGTTTCTCAAGTATCCCGCATCAGGCGAGGAAGTCTGGGTAGACAAAACGCCATCACATCTCTTCAAGGAAGCGACTCAAGTCCACTGTTGGATAGCAAAGACTGTGGAAAAGATTCAGGATGTATACCATCTTCCAGATCACCCCAAAAATGGCAGGTTGATAGAGTCACTCTTCAATCAGACCATGAATCAGACCAAGAGAACTCAGAGCAGAGTTTAAACATGCACATCTTAGGCCCTAGAAAACATGACCCCTGCTACCTGGAGCTTCATTGTGGTCGTGACTACCAAAGCACCAGCTCTTTGTCATCGTGTTACAGTTCCAACTGTCCAGAAGCAGGCTTTCTTTCTGGTGACACGGAATATGGCAGGTGGCTGTCTGTTGATATGCAGCATAGTATAAGTGGAGAAGGAGGTTGGAGTGAGGAGGACATCTACTCTTGTGCAAACAGTCAAGAAGAGCTAGGGGATTGCCCAGGTGTTTGGGACAGGTGTGCCACAGAGGAGACACAAAGCAGCACACCAGGTCATTCTTCACATAACAGCTCTGAGCATCTCTCATTGCTGTTTGGACACCATTACAACTCTCCTTTGAGTTCTTCCAGTATGGTTGACAGGAGGCCCCCAAGACTACAAACTGAGGAAGAAAACTTGGAGTGCGACTGTTCTGCAAACTGCCCATACTCACGTAGTTCTGGTTACCACACCATGGACGCTTGCGCAAATGAACTTGATAGCGGGCCCTCCAGGAGTCTGAGTTGTTCCACTGTGCTGTTGACAGACTGTGATGATGGTTACCTGGAGCCACATTCGCTGTGCGATGACTGTCCATCGTCTGGTGACACTCTTGATCTGAGCTCTGCAGACAGTTTGGACAGGGAGTGGACAGATCAAAGTGTCTCCAGGGATGAAGCAGGAGACTCTTTGTCACAAGAGTCTTCTGAAATAGATCCTGATAGTGCTAAGACCCCCAATGTAGGTTTTGATGTAACAACTTTTAGCAAGGCTGTGCTCACTTTCAGATCAGCTTTGAAAGGGGCTTTGAAAAAGTTGGATGGATCCAACCCTGAAGGTTTGAAAGACAATAGTGGGTCTGAGGCATCTTCATCCCCTGTCAGAAAAGCGAGTGAACCCAAGGACGAGCAGAGCAGTACAGACTATACAGAGGGAGAAATCAGTCTGATAGAGAATCACACCCAATTTGGCACTCCGAAGGAGGAGAGTGAGGCTTCGGTCTACGTGGATTGTTGTGAGACACATGAGAACCTGCCATGCTCCATTAAAGCATCCCCCCATGAAGCAAGCCACTCTCCCTGCACCTCAACTGAGTATCACTCTGTACAGATTTCACAGGGCAAAGGAGAATGTCCAACAGATGGGGAACTGTCCAACCTTGACTTAACTCCAGACCATTGTCCAGCAAGGCAGGGCGAGAATCCACTGGACCCAGTTCTCAGTACAGACGAGGTGCTGTTAAGTCCAATTAGGGAAAGCCATGTTCCTGATGAGGTAAATCAAGAAAAGTCTATCGACGCCAGTCACAGAGAGCGTATTGCTAATTTCCAGCGCATTCTGAGGGAAAAGAGACAAACCCGACATAGACTGTCCAAATCTGCTCAGGGGTCCCAGGGGTCTCATGGCTCTCGCGGGTCTCAGGGATCCCAATCTCAAGATGAGTTTATCCCAGGTATTTTTAAGGATATTTTCTATGACTTTAATCACTGGCAAGCCCAGTAATAACAGCAAAAAATAATCTCACCGCATGCAATGATCTGATGAAATGTACACAAATAGCATTGAGATTAGATGCATATAGCATTATACAGGTATTAGTGGATTTGTTGTCTCTTTAAATCACAGTTTTGAAAATGTGCTTAAAATAGTTTGCTCAACTACTCCACATGATTTTTTAATCCTTCTGTGATTTATTTTTTTCTTTGCAGAGTGTGGGAGAGAAGATAATCAGGTCACTCAAATAACATTACCTCCATATTTAAGCTACCCTATTTTTTTCTGTTGATTTTGATCGTGGCATAATTGTGTTAATCTTTATCGCCATTACTAGTTGTTGTCAACGGGTGCACTTTGCAAATGGTACAGGTTAACATGGGGGTAGAAATGTAATATTTATTGAAAACTTCATCTTGCTATTCTGGAAAACACATTTGTCCCACCGCTTAAGTTATTCTGTATAATAAGTAGTTGATCATTTCTTTCATTCATGTTAAAGCTTTATGATTCCCCAGTTCTGTTTCTAGTGTTAGTGCAGCTGCTTTATATTTTCCCCCATTTTTTTTCAAACGCCATCAGAAACTTGTGTCAGATACTGTGAGGGTGAACCCCAGAGAGATCTCCAATTTAAACCATCGTCAACCAGTCATCTGTATGCATGTATGTAGAGACACTGATGAAAGACTTTACCTTGAGGAAAAAGTAGAAGAACTTGTGTACATGTGTTGTCTCAGTTTTGGTGGTTTAGTGAAATCCTTTTATCTACTTAAGTTATCTGGGGTGTCTCTAAGCATTAAATGGGCAGTGTTATTTAAGCAGATTTTACTTGCATCATGACCTGTAAAATCGAACTTACTCTGTGGTTTTGTATCTGCATAATGTTGGTCAACCATTACATTTCACAAACATCTTTTACAGTTAAAGAGTTCAAAATTTTTTTTGATCCTGTGTTTTAAAGGCATCGTCACTTTTTATTTGACTTTGCGTGTTCCGTAACATCAGAGAGGTGAAACTCAGCCAAATGCAACTTTCCATTACATCCCTCTTCTCATAATATACTGTGTGAAATGTGTGTCAACCTTTCTAAATCATCAACCTAAATTCTCACATTTTAAATCGTGTAGGTTCGAGATGAAGAACCCAATGCTAGACAGGCTTGGGTCAAACCAGGGTAAGTCAAATATAGTTAACACCTACAATGACTTGGCTTAACACAGTTTTAAATATAATTTCTTCTGAATTAATAACTGAATAAACAACAATACATTTTAATACTAGTTTGACTATAGAAATGTGCCTGTGTTGTGATTACAGTGAAAATGTACTCCTGTGTTATTGTATGTACTGACTTTTAATTCACTTTTATACTATTTTTGTTGGTGTACAGTGGTGGATCTGGTCTGTATGGAATTGACAGCATGCCAGATTTGCGTAAAAAGAAGCCTATCCCCTTGGTCAGCGATGTGGTCAGTACTAACCTGTCATGCCTTTGCTATGCATACTGTATGTCAGATGTCGTCAGATGTCTGTTTCGTTCATTCTTCGTGAGTGCATACCTTTCTGTTTGTGAGACCTCCACAGAAGTCATTCTTTTGCCTTTTGAGCTGAATTTGGGACGAGATTGTTATCAACAAATGGAGACAAATATGAAATCAGTCTGCTAATTTCTCTCTCCCTCCTCTCTTAAACCTGAAACTATTCCCCACAACTCTCTTGAATGCATTCACTCTCCTTGGTCAGGCTATGGTAAGTTAATAGAACCTAGTTGCCACTCCCTTTTCTCCTGAAGTAAAAAATATCAAGTGGGACAAATAAAACAGTAGTTTCCTCAAACATGTATGTCTATAGCATGTGGATCTCTTTGATCGCAAACCTCTTGTTTAATACAAATTAAAACATTTGCATGCATCCTCTTTGTCATGGGTAGCTTTTCTTCCTACTTGATATTATCATTAAAATATATAATCAACAAATCATTCCTCCACCTTTTGGTTCGCATTTTCCTAAACTTGCTGAGCCTTGTACAGACAAATAAAAAAACACATGGATAGAATACAATACTATACTAACACTCCTTTGGCTACTGGTTTTGTTATTGTTTTATGGTGTTGATATTGGAATAACGTTATCCTTTTTAGTATTATCCTCTTCACTTTTTGGTTAAAACTAATAATACTCACATGGGTTAGCTGAATTCATCATTGGAAAAAAATACTGTTATAACCCTACTCACCACCTTACAATGGGCACCTTTTTAACCATACTGACCTTCATCGTTATAGTAATATTTCAAGGTGTGTTTGGTTGTGGGTTGTACATGTGTTTAATAAATGCTAACTTTTTTTTCCTTTGTCCTTTGTCACCTGTTGTTCAGTCTCTCGTCCAAGCCAGGAAGGCAGGGATCGCATCTGCTATGGCTGCACGGTCTTCAATCAAGGATGAGGAGCTTGTGAGTATAACACCATGATGACATCCACAGTTAACCAATAAAATATTTTCATTTTAAATTTCAGTGCTCGTAAAAGGGTAACTTCAGTATTTTTCACCCCGGATGGAGTTTTCCCATGAGTAATTGGGACAACATTTTTTGAAATTGGTCCGGTATTGAGTGAGCGCACTGCAATCTGCAGCAGTGAAACAGGGCTGCAACATAATCTTTGCGGGCAATTGCACCCTGTCAAAGTACATCCACTAAAGTGCTTGTTTTTGCCACTGACAGCTCTGATTGTTATTGTAAGTGTCTGACAACATAATGGAAAGATCCCTACAGAGATGTACCTTTATTTAAAGAGTAGGTTTCTTCTTGTTTATCAAGAAATAGTCCCTATATCACTCTTGTCAAAGCCACCAGACTCCCTTGACAAAAACGTAATTTTACTTGTCTGGTCTATCGCTGCCAAGATCAGTTAGTTTGTGTTCATGTGACTTTGGTGTTTTTAACATTTTAAAACACCAAAGCTATACAATAACACAGACAAACAAAAACAAAGTCACACAATATCACAAACAAACTAACCTACCGAGGCAGCAGTAGACCAGCAACTCCCATGATCTGTGAGGTAAAATTGCTGATTTTGTCAAAGGAGTCTGGTGGCTTTGACGAGAGCGACATACCGACTGTTTCAGGTGAAACGAAAACGATCTTACTCTTTTAAAAAAGGTCTATCTCTGTGGTGATCCTTTCTACTATGTTGTTAGACACTGTAACAATCTAAGCTTGTCACTGGTAAAAACAAGCACTTTAGTGGACGTACTTTGATAGTTCACAATTGCCTGCTATGATTACGTTGCCCATTTTCAAATAAAATGTCCCAATTAGTCCCAAGGACTCAAAAACATGGGATAATAGGCTCCAGGTTGAGAAACATCCAAGTTACCCTTTAAGGTGTCCCTCTTTGTCAACAGGCTAGGGCACATTTCGCATTACTGGTGGTGCTGTAGGTGTTGTATGTTACCTAGCACCATGCCTTCTTTATTTTCTGCTCATTTTATCACTATAACTGAATCAGGAATTCCACATAAATTAAATTTATCCCTTCTGTAGAAAAACCATGTGTACAAGAAGACCCTGCAGGCTCTCATCTACCCCATATCCTGCACTACACCGCATAACTTTGAGGTGTGGACTGCCACTACGCCCACATACTGCTATGAGTGTGAGGGGCTGCTGTGGGGAATAGCCCGCCAAGGCATGCGTTGCACTGAGTGTGGGGTCAAGTGCCACGAGAAGTGCCAAGAGCTGCTGAATGCTGACTGTCTACAGCGTGAGTACTGCCCAGAAAACCTTTAAACCAAGTTGACATGAGTGATCCAGAAATGCTGAGGTAGGCACAAAGGTTCGCGAGTAGTTTGCTGAGGATTGTGAGCAGTTTCACCAAATTGTTGTCAAAACAACTGGTTAAGCATATTTCCTCGCATTGACAGGCTTTCATTTTGTTAAGAGCTTATTTATCTCATTACATGCACTGCTACCAGTGTGACAGGAGGATAGTAATAGATTTAAAGCTGTGTACATTTTTGTTAAACGTTTAGGTGCTGCGGAGAAGAGCTCCAAGCATGGAGCGGAAGACCGAACTCAGAATATTATCATGGCCATGAAGGACAGGATGAAGATAAGGGAAAGAAACAAACCTGAAATCTTTGAACTTATCAGGGAAGTGTATGTCATCAGCAAAGCCATCCATGCGCAGCAGATGAAGACCATCAAGCAGAGTGTACTGGACGGCACCTCAAAGTGGTCAGCCAAGATCACCATCACAGGTATCCCAGTAAATGGATGAATTCAACCACAGCTTAGCATCAATCTTAGCAGTACCATATGTGACACTTGTTAATGCTAATGGTTGTTCCTTGTGTCTTTTGTTTCTCTATCATCGCAATAGTGGTTTGTGCCCAAGGACTTCAGGCAAAGGACAAAACAGGATCCAGTGATCCATATGTCACTGTTCAGGTGGGCAAGACCAAGAAGAGAACAAAGACAATTTATGGCAACCTCAATCCTGTCTGGGAGGAGAAGTTCCACTTGTAAGTCACCAAACTTTCTTGGTTGTAAAATGTGTGTATAAATGTGCAAAGTTCCTTCTAATTGTGCGAAGGCCTATAAATAATAGCAGGGCGTACACTAGCCTCGAGCTGTCTGAAGTTTGAACTCTCTTTGCATTCATGCTTGTTCTTGATAAACACTTTACCAATTCAATTATTTTCCATGAAATTGCATCCTGTACTATACTGTACTTCACTATATATGTTTGTTTTTTTCATTCACTGTTTTTTGGCCAGTGAGTGCCACAATTCCTCAGACCGTATTAAAGTGCGTGTGTGGGACGAGGACGATGACATCAAATCAAGGGTGAAGCAGCGTCTGAAGAGGGAATCTGATGATTTCCTGGGCCAGACTATAATTGAAGTTCGAACGCTGAGCGGAGAAATGGACGTCTGGTACAACCTGGGTCAGTATGCTGCCTTGTTTATGGACATTCTGTACAGCAAGAAGTATACCATCTGTTATACCAGAAGAGGATTTTTTTTTAAATGCTAAGCACTTAATGGAACTAGGCTATAAGTCAATCACAAATGCACTCATCACCATTTAGAGGTGCAGATTCTGCACCACCTGTAGAAAGCAAAGTAATAGCATTTTATACATAAAAATGTAGACATATTGGTGTCTACATATTTGCCTACAGGCAAAGAAAGTACACAATATAAAAAGTATATAATAACTGCTACAACATTAACTCTTGCAGGCAGTAAGAGTTACGGATCCATTTTTTTTCTCCTGGTGGTGTACTGGTGAGAAACACAACCTCTTGGATCCTCATGAAGAGATTACAATATAAACATATTTTATCATGGGGGCTATAAGATCATGAGATGCTACATGTTGTTTCCCATTTACCATGTCTGTGTTGCTTAGTTCTACCTCTGGCTTTATCTCCCCGGCCAGAAACAACCTAGATTTCATTGTACATTACTTTCTCTTAATGAAGGATTGATCTGCTTCTGATGAGGCGTACAGTCTTTCTGTTTGGTGCCAAGAGTTTTGTTTTCAGCAAGTCCAGTCAGTGATTTGTTTGGACCTCATTACCCACGTCTCCTTTGCCTGCAGCCGCTTTTTTGTTATACAGGCAAGAAGTGGCCTCAAGGCCCTTATTGGCCTGCATGACAATACTGGCTTTCCCTGGCAAGTTTATTCTGTATGCTGTCATTTCAGGGGGGAAAACTTGTTTCATTATAATCCCCAGAAATAATCCACTGGGTATGAAGATATTTTCATTAGAATGAAGCCTGCATACAGCCACTATCAGGGCCTGATTGTACACTGGTTATAACCAGCACAAAGTTGTAAAGCTCAAATAAAGGTAGCATGGATTATTTTCAACATACAGACAAACTGCATTATATTTCTGAATTACTTTCCTAATAAAATCTGTCTCCTGTGTTGTCAAACAGTTTTTTTCCCAGACATCAACTTAATGTTGATCCCTAATCATAACCAAGGACATAATTAAAGAAGTTAATTGATAGATTTACCCACCCCAGACATTATCATGTAAAATTGTATTGATCTCTTTAAAGCACCCCTCATCTTTACATTCATGTTACATTTAAGAGAGACTTTCAGCTCTTAAGCACAAAGTATCTCTTGTGTCTACTTGACTAAAGTTCTAAAATTGACTTTATTTTCCACTAGGTGAGTATGGCACTGAATACGAATGTGTCTACAGATCTGCTGTTATTTTAATCTTGAGACATCAATTTAATATCCCTCTGATAATCACATCAATAAAATACTCTTTTCATTAGGAGTTAGAATTCAGAGCAAAATTAATGATCAGTCATATAAGATGCCCAATCTATTTCAACCAACGTTTTCTCTTCTCCATCTCTAGCTTGGTAACTCTAAAGCGCCACTCCCCTGCCCTCCTTCCTGCCCCCCTTTTTCCTCCTGGTGTGTGATTATCAAGTAGCGGCACTCCAGTCGGAAATCGACCGCTCCGCCGACATGTACAAATTACCCCTAATGATGTGCCTGTCAGGGAAAATAGCAGGGGTGAGCCGCCAAGCACTCCACCTCCAGAGAAGCTTCGGCTCATGTGTCTTCTACGATCAGGCACAGATCCATACAGCCCACAGCCATTGTCTCCCTCACTATCAGCTGGAGGACTTCTATAAGCGTTGCCAGCTCTGCACTGCCATCAAACTGTAGAAACAGAACCCCCTACAATAGAACTGCCATGTTAATAATCTGCAATTACTGTTGTGTTAACAGACCTGGTTTCGTATGCCCCCTTGTCACAGATTTGGATTGGAGTTATGAATCAAGGATGTGTGTATTTGTGTTTAATTACAGAGAAGAGGACAGACAAGTCGGCCGTGTCAGGTGCCATTCGCCTCCAAATCAACGTGGAGATCAAAGGAGAGGAGAAAGTGGCTCCATATCATGTGCAGTACATGTGTTTGCATGAGGTATTTGACTCTCCAGCTTCCATGGGTTGTGCTTGTGTTAAGGATATCACTTGAGGCTAAAGTTTTCAGGACTGTATCAGTAAAGTAACGGCCATCTGTAATGTAAATGACCAAGCTGAATGTGATGTTTCTATGTAATCAGTCTCTAAAATGATGAGGTTGTCTGCTACATCTATGCATGTCACCTCACCAAAACATTTCCACATTAAGAGTGTTTTCTTTCCACTAGTTAACTTGATATTCTGAAAATGCAATACATACATTGTATTGTATTGTACTTTGTAATGCGCATTTAATAAATACAATGCTGGAATATTTTGGCGTATTCTCTGCAGATGTGACTGATTTTAGCTGCCCTTACAATTACATAATCCCCCCTCTTTCCTGAAAAACCAAATCAAATTTTGAATAGGGCTTACGGCAAACAGCCTGTGCTTATAAAACAGACAATACCACAATAACACAGGCCAAAAGGTTTTACCCCCTCAAAATCTTCACCCCATATATCCTATTAGTAAGTTAGAAGTACCCATGAGCATAAACCTTCACATACTCATCCTAACATGACATCCACAAAATGTTTCTGTTCCTTACAGAACCTGTTCCACCACTCAACCGATGTGATTGGCCAAGGCGTGGTAAAAATCCCAGAAGCTCATGGAGACGATGCGTGGAAAGTCTACTTTGACGATGTGGCACAGGAAATAGTCGATGAGTTTGCCATGCGTTATGGGATTGAGTCAATCTACCAGGCCATGACGTGAGTCTGAGATATGCCCCCCACCCCGATTCCCCCCCTCCCTTTCTGCCTTTAGCTCTCATATCAAAGTGCCTCTCAGTGCCATTGTCATTCCTGTTGGCCTCCAAATGAAAGAAAGTCAATTCTAAATGGACTGAGGATGGATGTGTCTCTGTGAAATCACGCTCCATACAGATGCCTGTTAGCTAGGCCCATCATTCACAGAAAGCCCACTCCAATGGGCTGTCCCTCAGCCTTAACGTGCCAGCTTGCTGGTGAGTAGATGAAATTATATTTCTAATATGGATCAATAGGACAAGACCCTTGAGAGGACACGGCTGTTCACGTTGTGTCACATCTTTGTAGGTGTGAGTAGATACAAATAGGAGGACAAGGAGGCCTGCTGCCCAGGTCTTTATCAAGCTTTCATTGTGCTTCTCTCTATAGGCATTTTGCCTGTCTGTCGTCCAAGTACATGTGTCCCGGGGTTCCTGCAGTGATGAGCACCCTGCTGGCCAATATCAATGCCTTCTATGCCCACACAACTGCCTCCACTAATGTGTCAGCCTCTGACCGCTTTGCTGCCTCCAATTTTGGGGTTTGTATTATTTTAGCCTGCAAACACACACAAACACACACAAACAAGTATTTTAAATATGTTTTTGTCTCTTCCGTCCCATATACATACTTACACACATACAGCCTCTGTCTTTCTCTCGCATTTTTGTGTATGTATACATAAATACAATCTCTCATCATTTCTATTTTTTCTCCATTCACCATACAGAAAGAACGCTTTGTCAAGCTTTTAGACCAGCTGCACAACTCCTTGCGCATTGACCTCTCAACGTACAGGGTAAGACTTCGATTATTCTAAATAAATATCACTGCCATTGATGGCTGATGTTGCTTTAGCGGTATTGATAGTTATTTTCACTCGACATGCAGACCTCTGTAATCACTTGTTTTCATGAATTTAGAGGATTCATTAATGCATTTTCAGAAAAGAATGGATTATTTACCACCACTGTTATTTATGGTGTCTGCTTCACGTAATGTTACGCAAATGACACCACCGACCGAAGCGCTTACAGGGGAAACCTTTGAATCTAATGTCAAATATATGAATTTTTTAAATAAAAACAAGTACAGACTGTTAGAGCAATCCAATTTATAGCCTTAAACAAGAGTGGTGAGCATAAAGTGGATGTACCAAACGCTTGAAATGGTCATCAGTTATATTGAATCTAGTAAATTGAGCTAAATTAAACCTGCTTTTTGTCTGTAGAACCACTTTCCTGCCAGCAGCAAGGAGCGCCTGCAGGATTTGAAATCCACCGTGGACCTTCTAACCAGCATCACCTTCTTTAGGATGAAGGTAGCTAACAGTGTTTCATGTGATGTATCTTTCTTTTCATTGTAGTTGGCTCTCTGTGGGATCTCGGCAAATGGTTATCATAGCTAGATTTGCCATAGCTTGGCCATGTTCATTGCAAATTACCCTGCTGTCAAGTACGTTAAATGATTGTTTGTGGTCATTCACTGCCAGTGTTGCTATCTCCTTCTGCTGTTCAGGTCCAGGAGTTGCAGTCTCCGCCCAGAGCCAGTCAGGTGGTGAGGGACTGTGTCAAGGCCTGCCTGAACTCTACTTACGACTACATCTTCAATAACTGCCAGGAGCTGTACAGCAGGCAGTACCAACCTGTCGACGTGGTGAGTCACATACTAATCATCCAACTGTGCCAGGTAACCTGCTATGAGCCTGACTGCCAGGCATGACAGTGACTTCATGTCTACTAAAGCGAACATAAAACCCATCATACTGATTGTGTTTAGACTTTATCACTTCTCTTTTTGGCAACTGACTGTGTTGTCTTCTAATCTAGAACAAAGAGGAGCTCCCTTTGGAGGAGCAGGGGCCAAGCATCAAGAACTTGGACTTTTGGCCCAAACTCATCATGCTCATCGTCTCCATCATTGAAGAGGACAGGAACTCCTACACACCTGTGCTCAACCAGTTAGTAATGGGGATACACTCCCGTTGCCTTTATTCCTTCAAAATGGCAGGATATGCATATGAGCATAAACATGTTTCTCCATGTGCAGTTTCTGCTGCATTGAGAGTTCCAAATGTTCAGAACACTTAATATGGATGCAAAAATCATAAATACTCAGGGATATTAAATTTTTGTTTGTTTAGTCTCAGAATTCAGTAGATTCATGTCACAAGTTTTTCAAATTGCCGCCTCTCTCTCAGATTCCCTCAAGAACTAAATGTAGGAAAGGTGTCGGCAGAGGTCATGTGGACGCTGTTTGCTCAAGACATGAAGTATGCTATGGAGGGTAAGTCACACTCAATGTCAGATATCCATTATCCCACTCATAGTCACTTGTCATCAATTCTGCATAATGACTTGTTGGCTGCTGGTAATGATCATCAGCTCCATCCCGTCTCATCCAGATCTAATACCAAACATTGTCTTAAAGTTGTGTGAAAAGGTAGGTAGTGTCTTTGGCTCCCACTTCCAACTCCCCCAATGTGTCTCTGCAGTATCCTGTAGAGCTATACCATAGACTTGTTATTGTATGATTCTGAAACAGGAAATGGCAAGAAGAGAAGAGACGTTCTGGGTTAAAAATGATACAGTGGCATGGAAGAAGTGAAAGAGCGAAATAATGACTGTGCAGGATTTGAAAGCTGCTTATGTCTCTCAGGAGCCTCTCTGTGGTTCATCTCTGCTGTGCTGTACTGTACAGTACCACCAGTCCCTAGAGGCGTTTGGCTTTTATCCCAGCCCTGTCCTCAAGAGGAATCCCTTACAGAGACTGCCGCTGTGAAATCCGTCTCAAATACTAAAGTGCAGTGGTGGCCACTTAATTTTCAATCTGCATTAAAATAAAAAGTGATGGAAAATGTGTTCAGAGGTGGAATGAGTCCTGAGAGAGTTTGCTCCGGAAGCACTGCCAAAGAGAGATTGAAATTTAAGTAGGTCACTAAAAAGATACTCAAGTCCCTGGTTAAGTTTGAGCTATTCATTATTATTATTACATGAATAGGTGGGTGAATAAAAAAGACAATCAAAATTATAGGTTTAGGTAAATAGAATAGGTTCACATTTTCAAATCTGTCGTAAAACAAGTCTCACATGTGCATATGTACGTTAAAAACAGTGTTGGTCGTTTTACTGGTTCCTTCTGTTCTGCTGGTTGTGAACTGATCCCTTCCTAAAGTGATTTCAAAGAAAGTGATGCGGGACAAATTCCATGCACATATGGGCATGTGAGTATTGTTTTGAAACATATGGCTACAAAAACATGGACCTATCCGGTAATCTTGAATTTAAGATTATGTTTGGTGGTGGTGAGATGAAGTTTAAAGGTGCACTCTCGCAAATTAGCAGTACATGTCCATTAAGTTGGGAGGCGTGTGAAAATTTTTGAAAGTTTAAAACAATAATGGCCCAAATCAAAGCAGGGTAGGCATAGATATCCTGATTTTTTTTATTTTATTACACAATATAAGACACGACCCAAATCCTATCTTTCCTCTCATGGCCCAAACCCATCACAAAGCTCACGGGCTCTTGATGTCTTTTTGTCTTCAGAGCATGAAAAGCACAGACTGTGTAAGAGCACCGACTACATGAACCTGCACTTCAAGGTCAAGTGGCTCCACAATGAATATGTCAAGGAGCTGCCAAACTTTAAGGGTGTTGTTCCCGACTACCCATCGTAAGTGCTTTTAATTTATTCAAACATATGAACATTACATTTCCTTTTTTAAAAAACTCTTTTTTGAGGATCCAATTAATAGATTGCCCCCTAACCCATGTATTATTAGTCAGGAGTATAACACCTGTAAAGCTCAACAAGTTATTTGAAACAAAACAATAATAATAACTCTGGCTGTCTTTATTTTTCTTTGTAGATGGTTCCTACAATTTGTGCTACAGTGGTTGGATGAAAATGAGGACGTGTCTATGGAGTTTATGCATGGAGCTCTAGAGAGAGACAAAAAAGACGGAGTAAGAAAATGAAAATTGGCCTTTGATACATTGCCTCTGCCTCTACCTCTTTTAAAAAATTTTTTTTTAATGAAATCAATCCAGTCCATGCTTATGGACACACGCACAGTATCAGCACATGGGCCTCAGAAAGTTTTTTTACAGCATGTATTAGTAATTCTATACATTATAATGAATATTGATAATAACTAAGTATCTTGCATGTATTTGTTTGTTTTACCCCTTGCCATCCTTCACCGCCTCAGTTCCAGCAGACGTCTGAGCACGCTCTGTTCTCCTGCTCTGTGGTGGACATCTTCACCCAGCTCAACCAGAGCTTTGAGATAATCAGGAAACTGGAATGTCCTGACCCTAACGTCATGGCTCAGTACAGTCGCCGCTTCTCCAAGGTAATCCCACTTCACTGGATTTTTAAAAACCTCAAGTACATCACAAAGGGTTTTGATTTGTTTGTAACAATTAGAATGTCTATAATTGGTCATTTAATTGACTATCAATGATCGTATTGGCCTTTTACTTTACTAAAGGCAGTCTCTGACTAATTTCTTTTATTAGAAACATTATAACATTATAATACTCTCCTCCTTGGGGACGGAGGGACAGCACAGTTTTGTGTTTTAGGATTTACTTTCCTGCATGCCAGAGAATACATAAAGGGACATTTTGAGAATGTTTCAAATAGTGCAGTAGGGAGACATGATCTTTCAGACAAGAAATAAGTAATTGGATTTTGAATTGTTTTTAAATAGTTTTGAATTAAATTTGGTTCCATACCAAGTTTTAATGTGTTTCTTCCTCTTTATCTCTGCAGACTATTGCCAAAGTTCTTCTGCAGTACAGTGCCATCCTGACCAAGAGTTTTCCTGCTTACATTGACAAGGAGAAGATTGTAAGTTGACAACACGTGGTAGTATGTCATCGCGTTCTGACTCTTATTCTATGCTTTATATGCTACAATAAACCTCTTAAAGTCACTGCTTTGGTTTATGTATAAATGAATGTTTTCCTGCTGTACATCCTCCATCCAATCAAAGATATTTTACATAGCAGTCACTTCATTCACTTTTAGAGTCCCTGCTACATGTGTGTAATCTCTCCATCCACTATGTCTATCTCTTTTTTCCTGTGTCCTCTCGCAGCCGTGTGTCCTGTTGAATAATGTGCAGCAGTTGAGAATTCAGCTGGAGAAGATGTTTGAGTCGATGGGTGCCAAACAGGTAAGTCTAAAGACAAAGGTGTGGATGACAAGACTCATTTAACAGCATCATGCTGGATGTATGAAAATATCCAGTATGGTACTGTTAATGCCTTATTAAAAACAATGTAAAATGACCAATCAACTAAAGATTTCTCACTCGACCATTAAAAGTTGATATTTTAGGCTTCGTGCTTGAACATCTGTTGTATTTGTGTCTCTCGTGTATCAGATTGCAACAGAGGAAGCGCGGGTATGTGCAGTAGCGATAGTTCAGGCCATTTGAAGTAGATGACTGGTAGTGCCGGATTAGTGCTGGCCATAGTGGAAGCTGTTCATCCTGTGAATGTTATTTTATGATACATTCGGGTTGTTAAAAAGGTTATATACGCCATCCTGATGTCTTATGGGACGCTGTCAATGAAAGCGTTTCCATAGATCAATACTGACAGACATTAGACGCTGTGCCGCTTAGTAGGCTAGAGAATATTGAGACAGAGACTCATGTCCTCTGTATTAGTGTCCTTAGTGTAGCTTCAGTCAGGACATTCAATAGATTCTGTGATAATAGCAATAGCTGTGACCTCCTTATACTTTGAATTCCTGCCATGCTTTTGCATTTAGGCCTTTGTCCTATTGTAGCTGTAGTGTAATATTTTTTAGAAAGTGCTTGGTTGGTTGAAAGATTGTAGCTGTTGGACACTGTAGCCAAAGGTTCAACCTGTGTGTTCACTTTACGATTAAAGCAAATTGAACTGGAGGAAGAGGAGGAGGAGGAGGCAGAAGGGGAGGAGGTAGGTGTCCATCTCGGTCTGAGCCGGGCAGATATTTGTCCACGTGAAAGTACATGTTTTGCTTTTTTAATCAGTTTAATGGTGTGCAGCACTCCACCGTATTGATTATGTCCCCGTCTTCCTCTGGCTTGAACAGCAGCTCATTTCTGAGGATGAGGAAGCAAAGGCTCTGGTGGGTACTGTGGATGATAGCAGATTAAATTCAGTAGAAGTAGTTTGAACTGAAGTTTAGCGACCAGTAGATCGAGTCTTACGTAGCCAACCCGACCAAAAGTCTCTACTATCCCTACTCAAGAGGATACACAGCTGAATCCTAGAATTTAAAAGCATTAAAATGTAGGAAAGAAGAATTTCAGGGTGAACTTTTCTGTTGATGGGTAATTGCACATCCGGTAATAAATTAGTTGGATTTTTTTGTTCAGTGTTCGTGTTCTTGAACCTGGTTGATTTGGACCTTTTATCTTTGCGGTTCATGGTGCGGAGAAGTCACATTATGTTGCACATCATTTACTGCCGTTGCCTGAGTCAGATGATCATCATGTCATGATGAGGGGCGGAGGTGAAATGATGTTACATGTGAGCTCCCTTGAGAGATCAAAAGAGCTTGTGTGTAGAAGTGGGCGGCATGTTAACATACAGGGAAATCATTAGAAAGAGAGCAGGTGATTTAGTGATCGAGGATCAGATTACAGTATTGTCTAACCATGGTTTGTCAGTGCAACAAGTTAGGTTTTTTTTTCCCCCTTAAGCTTCTTTCTGACTGAAAACAATTTAGGAAGTAAATTATTTGAAGGTTTTGTTTGTTTGATACTTGACTTTGCCGTAGGATATTCTTCTCAAAGTGGTAAATGCAGTATTTACCACCTTTTTGTCCATTCAAACCAATTAGTTTAAGGAAAAAAACTATTTTGATTATTTACAATCCATATATTTTAGGAAATAAATGTACATTATCTCTGTTTTGCTAGCTGGATACCTGTCTATCCAAGTACTATTGATATTTATAATGAAATTTATATTATCAATAAACCAACAATTTAACACATTTAATTATGTTATTTAAAGGTAACTTAACCACACCAAATCACATGAAATCTATTAGAGTTGAAAACTGAGATGGCATCCACTGAGACAATAAGCTACTCCCTCATTTAGTAATGTGCAATATCAGACTGAATTACCGTGATTAGTTCGCTGTCAGTAAGGCATCAAAATTGGTCCTTTTCTTTTACAGATAACAGATAGGGAAATATCAGCCGGTACATTTAACTGTAGCTTTAGCTTAGGCTAGCCGTGGCTATCTCACCAGTTAGCTTCCACTTGCTGTAGTTGTGCAGTTCGGTGTCTCTTTGTGGCACAGCTGTAGCCTCTCTGAGCCCAGAGTAAAATAATCCTATGGCGTAATCATTTTTACAGAAAGTTAAATCAAGGTCTGAACTCAATTTTGACCAAACATGTAGTTACTGTATTTTGCATTGCAGGGCATAATTAACGAAAGTGTATTTTTTTGGGAGAGTAAAGTCACAATTTGTTTTTCCTCTCTTTTCTAGCGCAATAAAATACAGGCAAGTTCACTGTATATGCATACATGTTTTGTGATACATGACTGCATATACTTGCATGTTCTTCTCAATACTTACGGATATTAAATATTGCATCACTTGTAAAAAAAAAAAAAAGAAAGAAAAGAAGCTTGATAAGCTGTGTTATTTTGTGTTGTCTCTTTACCACCTCACCTAGTTTGAGGAGAGTGAGGAAGAGGAGGAGGAGGAAGTAGGGGAAGAAGGGGAGAATATTGAGGTTGAGGTTTGTTGCAGTCTAAAGTGGTTTTAACCTATCATTCTTAGAGTCCTAGCCATTCTTGTGCGCCCTGTTCTTCCTACTCCCAGCAACATCACAGTGACACTCATGCCCACTAAAACAAGTGTGGTTATCATGGTTGAGTTTATTGTGTGCAGTCCTTCAGATCATCTGTGTTCCACCTCTAGTTTGACCCTTCTTTCAGTGCCATTTTCCCCAGCCTCTCCTCAAAACTGGTCACTCAATTTCCCCAGAAACCAAAGTTATTTATATTATTTATATACTTTTTTGTGCCTTTTCTTTAATTTGTGTTCTCTTTGCAACTCTTTTTTTGTTTGCAATAGACTGATGAAGAGAAGGTGGGCGCCAAGGTTACAAATACTGCGTATGCTTTCCACTGTGAAAAACATGCAGTATTTGTGTTATTCTTTAAATCTGAATTTCAAGTGGTTTACAGAAAAAGAAAACTGATGTTGTAGATGATGTTTATTTTTGCCTGGTTGTTTGATCATGTAGTTCCTTCAGTATAGAACAGGAGTTTATAGTTTTTTTTACAGCTTTATAATTTTTATTTTTATTTTTATTTTAAAAATCTCAAAACATTCCCACCACCCAAAGATGGACGCACCAGTGGAAAAGGTAGGTTACATGCATACCAGGGTTTATCTGCTGCCACAGCACTTAATATAATGGCCACCGATCCTCTGTAGTTTCACATTTAATGTAAATGAAAATCAAATTCCGATGGGCTTATTATATAAGTTAATTGAGGTTGTCCTGTGTTTACCCTCCACCTGTCTGCGCTGTCACAGACTGAAAATGCATTTGAAGATAAGAAGGTGAGTGTAGGTGCACTAACCTGTGCATATTAATATCCCCACGCACCCAAAAAAGGCTCCCAGGCAAAACAAAACACATATAGCACATTACAAGCAGAACATAATCCATTTCTAGTCGCCTTTTCTTCCCCTGGAGCCTTCCCTTTGTGCTGAATAGCAGAAACCTCTCAGTCTCTCCTCACTAATGGTGCCATGCGACCCTGACAGGCCATGAATCAAAAGGCCATTGGATCATTGACTTAATGAGCCACACCATGACTTCATCCAAATGGCCCTGGCTCCCCTGCAGGCAGTGCTTATTTAGATGATGCCACAGTATACCTGGTTTAGGTATACTGGAGGTAATTCATGGATCTTTTCCCACTTGTTCCCTTCCCAACACCGCCACCCCCTGTCATACAAGTAGTGAGACTCACTACTTGTATGACACACATGTCCTGCCCTATTGAACTCATTTAACGTGCTCCTTTTGAAAGCTGGAGATTGCTGGCAAAAGAGTGGGGGATTTCAGCTGTACGTGTTAAAATGTAATCAGTTTTCTAAGTATGACAGATCGGCTGTGTCGTGGTTCTTTTTTCATCATAATGTGAATTACACACAAACTGCTGGTGATAGAAGTCCTTTTTGCAATCTTAAATTCTTGCTGCAAATTGTAACTTCTCGCTTTTGCGTTGAAGTGCAGCTCTAAGAAGTTCAAAGATAATTTGGGGTATTTAGGCCTAAAGCTTCAAACAACTAAGGATGAAAGCCTTTCTTGCACTGCTGTTAAAGAGCGCCATGTTGTCAGTGTTCAGAGGAGAGGTGGCACATACTTACTCTCTTGAGAATAATTATTTTCTCCGCACAAGTTTTTTGAGTTGAAATATTTATAACTTTTATTTAGAACTAACAAACTGCTTGGATTCTGTCTACCTGCCTTTCCTCAGATGGACACTGAGGCCAGTGACCTACTGAACGACCTGCAGGTGAAGCTGAACAATGTCCTGGATGAGCTCAGCACTACATTTGGGAACAGGTAGCCTAACCCTGACCCTAAACAGACACACAACCACACATACACACACACATATTTACAGTTCAGTCAGTAACCACACATGCATTTGTGCTGCATGATCATGTTTTTTCTTTTTAGTTTCCAGACCCGGATCAATGATTGTATGCGACAGATGGCGTCTCTGCTGTACCAGATCAAAGGACAGCTCAATGCCAGCAACAAAAACCAGGCGGAGGCCGACTCTGACAACATGCTACGGCCACTCATGGACTTTCTGGATGGAAAGTGAGTGGATTAACTAGAATTACACTGTGAATTACACTGCGAACTGTTTGATGATATGACCGTCTTTTCATTTACTTCTGTCCCTGTTTGATTTTTCTTTTTCTGCAAGTTTTTTTTGTCTTTTTCTTCTTCTGTGTCCTAAATCTCTGTCCTGAATTTGATCCTTCACTAAACATTTGGTAAAAATCAAAAATTTTAAGTTAGAGTTCAACAATACTAGCACCAATTAAGGTTAACACACCCCAGCACTTTCTGGGGTGCATGTGTCCCATCAACTTGTGTGTATACGTATTTGCGTGTGTTTGCAGGCTGACCCTGTTCGCCACCGTATGCGAGAAAACTGTACTGAAGCGTGTGCTCAAGGAGCTGTGGAGGATCGTAATGAGCAGCCTGGAAAAGACTATTGTACTGCCACAGGGCAACGATACCTTTGTAAGGTCACACTCAGCATTATGAGTCAAATCAAACCATTATAAGTGGTTTGACTTTTAAGTGCAGAAATAAAACAGCAAAAGAGCAGCAACTAAATTATTTTTTTCCCCCCAGGGTGCACAGATTCTCTCAGCTGCAAAAGAACTGGGCCAGCTCTCTAAACTCAAGGTATCATTAGTATGTTTTACACTGTGTTAAATTTACCAAGCTCTAACCACAAAATGACTTCTTGAGAGTGTGTGAACCTATTTTTGTGGTGTTAACTCACCTCTTCGCTCATCATTTGGACCTGCAGGATCACATGGCAGGGGAGGCTAAAAGCCTGTCTCCCAGGCAGTGCGCTGTCATGGATGTGGCACTGGACACTATCAAGGTCAGTTTATACTGCAGGTTTTGGTTTCATTAGGGTGCAAGGTAGACGGGTCAAATTAGCTTCATCAACTATTCAACTATTCATCCATTAATCAAGTACCCTGAAAGGTTTTGAAAGCCGCTTGTGAACCAAGTTAATTGTTTTAACAGGCCACGAAAAAGGAAGGCGTGTGAAGGAAATGAGGGGCGACATTTCTAAAGCAGGAGTAGTTTTTTTAAAATTATTATTATTAAAAATGCTAAATCCAGGAAATACGGTGATCTTTTTCTTTAAGAATTAAAGGATCATTCTGGATCATTTTCAACTTGGATCTTATTTTGTTATTTCAGTGGTTGACTGTGTTCAGAATGCACAGTCGACTTCACTGTAAAACTTGGAACACTGTTATACAAAGTGAAACGCCCACTTCCAAAACCATCAAAGCTTCCAGGGTGGATAAATCAAACCAGCTTTCTTTACAGTTTAAAATACTTCTTTATATTTTGACCATAATATATTAGACCTCCAGTTGTGCATCCAGATGTGGGTGTGCTGACTCGCTATCTGTTTCCTTTGTAGCAATACTTCCATGCGGGAGGCAACGGGCTGAAGAAGGCGTTCCTGGAGAAGAGTCCTGAGCTATCCTCCCTACGCCACGCTCTGTCCCTCTACACTCAGACAACAGACACACTCATCAAGACCTATGTGACCACCCAGCATGCACAAGGTAGTTCAGACCACTGCCTAATAACACATCTAAAGGAAGAAAGCATTTCCCATAGTCGACCAGGAGAGGGCACTATGTGTTTGTGTTTGATAAACAAAGCTTTTCACTGAATAAGTTTAAGATTCAAATTTTTTTTCAGTGTTTTTGATGCTGAACTATGTTGACATGTTATTGTTGTCTTCTCTTTATTTCCTGTGCTGCCTCTGTGCCAGTGCACAATGGAAAGGGTATTAGGTTAACTCCCAATGAAAAAATACAGACCAGCAAGGGTAGGTTTCATTGCGATCATCTGCCAGCCCTCCTCTCCTTCCCCGCCTGCTCCCTCTTTCTACATTTTGGTTTTGTCACAAAGGTGGGTAGGTCGAACCTAGTGTTGTAGTCAAGACCGCCCAAACCGAGACCAAGTCAAGACCAAGACCAGAGTTTATCAAGACTAAGACTTTTAGGGGCTGAGACCAAGTCCAGACCAAGACCAGTTCCCCACATTACATGGCACACAATAAAATTTGAAACGAGATCATAGGTAGTTCTCAAATTGATCTGAAAGATCTACATTCCCAATAAAACACCCACATACAAACACTCCTTTTCCATGCTTAACATCAGGGGGAGGGGTGACAGTCGTTTACGGTAACAACACATTTTTATTTAGGGTTATATGTTGCATTTGAAGCGATGCGTTTTACATCCAGTCAAAGTTAGGATGTTAACAAATAAATCAGACAATGCAAGAGCAATTTACTGATATTCCCAAAATTATGGTCTTGACTGGTCCTCAATGACCCGAGACAAGACCGAGTACAAATGCGGTCGAGTCTGAGACGAGACCAAGACCATCAGAATGTGGTTTAAAGACCGGTCTCATGACCAAGACCGTTCTGGAGTACTACAACACTAGTAGACCCTAACCCAACCTCTCCACCTGTATCCCGCTTCTAATACTGACTCTGCGTTATCAATTAAAGTTTCTTTTTTGCCTTTATCGGGCCAAATGTAAGCTCACTGGTGTGTCTGTGTGTGCATTAATCAAACCAGGTTCAGGCGTGGACAAGCCGATAGGTGAGGTGAATGTCCAGATTGAGCTGCACACTCAACCTGGGAGTGGGGAACGGAAAGTTACCGTCAAAGGTCTGTTTGTGGTTTTATAAGATGACGCTAAATATATGTCATTTTTAGCTTAGCGTCTTCATCATCCTCTTCCTCTTTGTGTGTCTACTTTTTTTTTACTCACCGGCGTGTTTAGTTGTGGGAGCGAATGATTTAAAATGGCAGACGTCCGGCATGTTCCGACCCTTCGTGGAGATCAGCATAATCGGGCCTCACCTCAGCGACAAGAAACGCAAATTCCAGACCAAATCCAAGAATAACAGCTGGTCTCCCAAGTTCAACGAGAGCTTCCATTTGTAAGTAGTGCAACAGCTTGGCCTGCTTTTGTATATTTATGAATAAATAAGAAACTACCACAGAAATCTTTATAAACTTTTATTATTTAGTAGTTACACAGATGTGTTGACCTTGCAAAATGTTTTATACTTGACCTTATTTAATACTTTTTTCCTTATTATTTGTGAAACTATTCTATGTAATTGTTTGTCTTCACACCGCATCTATTTACATTAAACATGTACAGTGTGGAAACACGAGGAAACTTGGTAATTTGCACACTAGTAACTCCAACTGGCTGTAAGAGGCAGCAGATATTTGAAGACTTTGACCTTCAGTACCCAGAAAGACGTAATGTGACATCAGTAACGTTAATGTTTACTAACTCGGCTAATCGGTGATGCTTTGCTGCTGGTTCTGAGTTTGGATTTCATGTTAAATCTATATTAATCTAGAGCTGCAACAATTACTCGATTGACAGAAAAGTAATTGGCAACTGCTTTTGTTTCAGTCATTTTTCAAGCAAAAATTTCTAAATTCTTTGGCATATATGATAGCAAAAAATAATTGCTGCCACAGTCTGACAAAAGGTTGAATTTTGAAAGAAGAATTCTTGGCTAGTTGACGGCTGTTGTTGAGTGACCTCTCTGTTGTCTGTCCACAGTGTGCTGGGTAACCAGGATGGCTTTGAGTGCTACGAGCTGCAGATCTGCGTCAAAGACTACTGTTTTGGCCGCGCCGACAGAGTGGTCGGCTTGGCTGTGATACAACTAAGAGACATCACGGGGAAGGGCAACTGCTGGCTCCCGCTTGGCCAGCGCATCCATATGGACGACACAGGCCTCACCGCCATGCGAATCCTCTCCCAGCGCTCCAACGACGACGTGGCCAAGGAGTTTGTGAGGCTGAAATCAGAGACTCGTTCTGCCGAAGAGGGCAGATGAGGAGAGCTTGAGAAGGAGGATGGAAGGTCTACGAATCCCCCAGTAAGAGACAGGGAGATCATGTGAATTATTTTCCGTAGATGGCCAGGTGGACTCTTTTTTTAGACCTTTGACGTGTCTTAGCTGCCGTTGACTGTTTGGTGTCGCCTTGCCAAGCTCACTGACACCCTGTCACCTTTACACTTTGGAGAAACTCACTTTTACATGTTCCTCAAACACTAAACTTATTAACCGAGCCACTGTACAGTACATAACCACATAGCAGCCGGCTCACTCAAACGTTACACTCATCAGCAGTTTCACTAGGCAATGACCACTTGCTTAGTCACATAACTTTTTTTTACCCCCCTCCTTACCAGTGCGCACGCCGCAGCCTCAAGGGAACAAAGAAAGCGAGGCCCCTTTGGAGGGCCAAACACGTTCCCACACCTCCCCAGTGTGTGTTGTTGTGCAATAACCCCACCTAAACCCTTGAAACCGTGGCCATGTGTTTGATGCCTTACACTCTGCAAAATGTGAATATGTGAAGTAAAAAAGTTTTTGAATGCCCTATAGCTCCACTGTGACGGTTTGAGTAAATGTGAATCTCATAAAGGGATCTTTTGTTTAGTGAATGAATGACTGGTAGCGAGGAGACAGTCCTAGTATTTTACAATTTATTGGATAGAGTGGAAGTGAAGCTGCTGAAATATCGTACTAGTTTCACAAGTTAATCTCGTTTAGCTAGTGTTTCAAGACAAGGTACTTAAACTAATCAACCTTGATGTTACCCCTTACTTTAAAGCATTGTTCAGTTAAATGTGCCTTGCCATGTTAAGTTTCCATTCCTGTTTCACCAGGAAAGACAACAGTGATATTATCAGCATATAATCTAAGTAGTAAAATCAGCAACAGTATGTTTTAAATACAAAACCTTGTGGAAAAAGAGGCCAATTCACTCTGTACGTGAACAGGTGAACCCTGTATTTATAAGTATTGGCACCAATAACAACTCGTGGCTCACGTGGCCTAGTGTAACCATGATGGTGCAGCCATTTTATTTATTTTTTATACGTATTTATTTTTTAACTGTGCTTTTGAAATCCCGTGATTTAAAATGTCGTTTACTGCTTTGAACAGACGTGTTTGCCAGAACAGCCAGTTTGAGAATTTGCACAGTGGTTAGTCTGAATGCTGCAGTGTTGTACACACAAAACCGCAGTTCAGCTGAAGAGCGCGTTCACAAGATGAGACACTCGCCCTCAGAATAAAGTGACAAGCCCGTTTTTGTTGTGAAGTAAAAAGCAAAGCTGGCGACTCGTGTCCCTGACGGACAATAGTGAGAACGGTCTTTTAAGAATTGTTCCATTTTTGGTAAAGAAATATTACATGTTGAACTTTCAGGTAAAAACTTTTTCTTCCAAAAAGGATATCTGAACATTTGAACACGAGCTGCTCAGCTGCTGAGTTAGAATTACTTATAGTTTACATGTATCTTCCTTCTCTTTTTTCTTCTTCTCTTCCTATGAGTGGCCTTATTGTTTTTTTTAATCCCTGTATTTCTTTTGGCTCTCAGCAATGAGGAATTGGTCACTTTTTTCCCCAAAATGATGTCAAATATGTTTTCCAAGTGATGTTCCTTATCATTTTGTACTTTTTATCTTTGATATTGCAAACGTAACTATATCTAGACTGGGGTTTTCTTTGCAGTCTCTTTAATATGTAGTGTTATGTTCCTTTTGATGTTTTGTAAATGTTTCCCTTAACCATTGTTAATAGTTTGGAATGACTATTGTAAGAGATGTTTCAGTGTTATGGACTGGAGTCATATACAATGAGATGTGTGCCAGTGAATATGTTCATAACTGATGGAAGAATATTAAAATGTTACTCTTCACGAAGGACGGATGTTGCTAGAATATCATGTGTGTGCACATTTTTAAACCGATCACAAAATCACATTCCTCTTTGTTACAGTACTTTATCCGCTGTGAATAATGTGCGTTATTGGTTTATGAGGACAAATGTTTCATAGCCATACTTTAATATACATGTTCCTTGTGCCAAGTTACAAGTGTTGACTTGATCTTTTTATTTTATTTCTATATATTTTCTAAATTTGTTAACCCTTGCACTATCACTAAATCATCGCAATAGCTAACAAGTACAGTATATTAGTCACAGGAACTGTATTTTTGTGGTGTCTTCTTTTTATTCTCACTGCTCTGAAATGTTATCACCATGTAAACATTCCGATTTAATTCATTTTGTATAAAGTATATGAGAAGTATCTATAAATGTGTCCGCCTGATTGTTCCCCAGTACAATGACATTGATTTTTAATTTGATTTGATTTGAATATGAGCCCATTCATTTCAGCAAGGTCAATGCAAGTGCATGGTTAAGAAAATCTTAAATATGCCATGTTAAAAGTTTTAATTGTGTGTCACACAACATATTTTTCATCAGTTTTTGGACAGCAAATTCCTTTTTTAAATCACATGCAAACCATGCTATAACTTATCTTTGCATCTGACTGCTTTTGTCACTTTAAACACACAAACAACTACTACACTACTGAATTTTTCTGTATTTTTTAATGCTGAGAACCGCAAACACGATTCCATTCACTTCCATCAGAGTATGTCTAAACCAAGACATACGATTTTTTGTTGTAATTTGGGTGAACTGACCCTTTAAAATGGAATCAGTGATGGGAGGGTTTCTAGTCGAAGTGCATGAAATTTTTAGTTTTTCATTGCAGCTGTTTCCAACAACTTTAAGGAGCATGCCCAGGCGTTGTAGGGAGGTCATATAGGCACGTGGAGGCCACACACACTACTGAGCCTCATTTTGACTTGTTTTAAAGGACATTACATCAAAGTTGGATCGGCCTGTAGTGTGGTTTTCCACTTTGATTTTGAGTGTGACTCCAAATCCAGACCTCCATGGGTTGATAAATTTGATTTCCATTGATAATTTTTGTGTGATTTTGTTGTCAGCACATTCAACTATGTAAAGAAAGTAGTATTTAATGAGATTATTTCATTCATTCATTCAGATCTTGGATGTGTTATTTTAGTGTTCCCTTTATTTTTTTGAGCAGTGTATCATATTTCAGTTGTTGTTACATGTTTCTGGGTGATTATGTAGTATTCATAAGTATTTATGAGCACAGGCAATATAACTGGAGTAAAAGTGAGTAAAACAAACTAATGATGTATTTGGTTAACACTTTTCATGAGTTGATTTTTCCAGTATAATATATCAAGATTTAGCTTTGTAGAGCTAGGACATTCCTTATTTGGGCAGAGTCACTCACACACTTGGATATCATTTATTTATTGCATAAAATTAGTAGAAATCATAGCTCACTAAATTAAATCAGAAATGCCAGGATGATGTCTCCTATTGGTAACTCTCCTTTAACAGGCAAAAGGATTTCATACCACCACTATGTTATGAAATGCAATATGTTCTTTTACAATCCAGGAATGCTTTTAAAGCTTTTTTGGTCTGGAAATTGATCCACAAGACATGCTTTAGTGTTTCTTGTTGAGGTCAGAGTTTCTTCCTGAAGGCAATCATCGGGTCTAACCCTAATTAAAAATGTGTTGTTCCCGTTAACGACTGTCACCCCTCCCCGTGATGCTTATGTTGATTTCAGCTCTTAGTGTTTGTATGCGGGGTTTTTAATGGGAATACGGATCTTTCAGATCAATTTGTGTACCTATGATCTCGTTCCACATTTTATTGCGTGCCATGCTGGTCTTGGTTGGTTGGTTGAGGTACCCTGCACGGTACCCTGGAAGCCCAGGTATTAAATTCCATTTCTGAAAACAACTGAATATGCACATCAGTCATGGCGCCCAAATATTCAGAGCTGTCATAACTCACTTTTAGTAAGTCATTAAAAAATGTTTATGCTTCAGTGAGATGCCTGGCTTTTCTTGCACATATCCTGTTATGGAGCTTGGACCACTGCCCTGTCTCAGTCAGGGTTACAGTATCCCATGTTTTGGTACTGATTGACCTGATTTTCATAAGACTCCTTTAGGGGATGGAAGCAGGAATTGCAGCCAAGCAACCCATATGGCATATAAAAAAGAAAAACAGATGCTATTAGTGGATGCTTTAGTGGACAGATGATTAATTGCAATTTCCTCCCAACATAAAATCAATACTTGGAAAGTTTAACAACTGCATTACTCAGTTGTTACTAGATGTTACCAAATTTTATTTGCCTGCAGGGGTCATCTTTAGTTGGAGGAATGCCAAGATTTACCTGAGCTGCACAGCGTTTCCGATCGTCCGTCGGCCATCTTGGATTTGATTAATTTAAATTGCACCTACAACGGTTTACCAGAGGGTGACAGTGTATGGCATGACACACTAGCGTCCATTGTAGTGGCTGATATGCAACTAGACCATCAGAACCTCTGCCCATTCAAGAAAGCGGCCTATAAAAAGTCTGTGGGATCTCCTACAGATGGTGATGTCATTTTCCAAGAGAGCTGATTGGTCAGTAGGCAGCGTTTTCATAGTTGATCTCTTATCTGGAACATAACCTGTTTGGAGCGGGCCCATTTATACTCCTGCGTGGGGTCTACGTGCGTAGTCTACGCACATAGCCATGCATATACTTGTGCGTAGGTGTGTCCATCATTCTGCAATTACACCCCCAAACGCTAGTCGGCAGTAGCGCTACAGCGTCCACCGTGTTGACTTTTGCCGGCCAAGCAGGCTAACTTCTGGTTTAGCCCTCCGCTAATGTAAATGGGGGGAAAATTGTAAACGTACGGCTGGTGTAGCCTTTTCAAATGTTACCGACCGAATGGATCACATTCTGATAGCGAAACGAGTCATTTCGCTTGGGTTGCGACGGTCAAATATATTGATTCACTGTGTTACAGCCGCTGTTTTGGCCGCTAGTAAATGTTACTTCAAAGCGCGGGGTACTTCCGGTCAGCTCGGAGGCATTGCAAGGCAACCCAGCCGACCAATCACAGAGCTTACGGTCCACGTCGACTGGACAATACAGTCTATGGTAGTTAAATTTTTGAGGAGGTGCACGTCAGGCGACGGCGTAGGTGATGGAGTAGGCTACATGGCCTAAGCGGGGCGTCTATTTGACGCAGAAGTATAAATTGCACTGCTTCTTCTACAAGCGCTGCTGGATGCCACATGTGTTATAAAGATCCCCTGTTTATTTCTGTTTTTCCCTTTTTTCCCCCTTACCTCACTTCCTTTCCTTTTTTCTCATCACTGATTGGCTCTTATTTTCACCTTTCATTCCTCCTCATTGACCTGATTGAGTTCACCTGTTTTACACTTTATTTAAGTACTGCACTCCCTTTCACTCACTCCCACTTCCACTGGTGGCAGTTCTGGTTTATTTTATTTTTTATTTCTTTAGTTTTATCCTGTTCATGAAAAACTTAGCTTAGATGTTTAGACTATCTTTCCTTATTTCCTTGAGATGGATGAGTTTAGCTTCTTTGTTTTCTTTCAGATGGAACAACATGTGGTGTCTGTTACCCCTGATTATGTTGACAAATACAACCTTTAAGTTGGAAGAAATAAAAAGATGTTCAGAAGATTTTTTCAGAGAAGTTTCCTGGCTTACTTCTCTGCATTTTGTCCGATGCCCCCAATGACAATAGTAAATGTACCTTTTGAACCTCCTACTTTACTCCCAAAAGGCAGAGCCTCCATTTGTGGAGTCTGGATCTGTGGCTGCGGGTCACCTGCTGCCCCCCTGTTCCTGCTCGACACCCTCTGCTGCAACGACTATTGTTGTTAGTCTTATTGTTATTATAATCATTAACATTACGATGGTTACCATTAACACTATTATAAATATCTGTACCATTTTTCATTTAGTCTATAGCAACATCACCTTCACTGTGTGTACCTCTGTGTGTATATTGTGTAGGCTCTCTCTCTCTCTCTCTCTCTCTCTCTCTCTCTCTCTCTCTCTCTCTCTCTCTCTCTCTCTCTCTCTCTCTCTCTCCCCTTCACCCCAACCGGTCGAGGCAGATGGCCGCCCACCCTGAGCCATGGTTCTGCTCGAGGTTTCTTTTCCTTGCCTCTGTCGCCTAGTGCTTGCTCTTGGTGGGAACTGTTGGGCTTCTGTAAATATCATCACAGAGTACGGTCTAGACCTGCTCTTTTATGAAAAGCGCTGTGAGATAACTGTTGTTGTGATTTGGCGCTATATAAATAAAATTGAATTGAATTGAATTGAATTGAAATTTCAATCGGGTGGAGCTATAAATATGAATCCGTGCTAACACGGACCATGATACGCTCTAAAACGCAGGAGTTGAGGATTTATCAACACGTTAACATTATTATTATACAGCGTTGCTCATTCATCATTTACCAGACGGGTATTTCCTTAATGAATGAAAGTGCTGGAATTCTCCTACAGCCCATTACATTCAATTTTAAATAGGAAGGCTAATTTTAATAAGCTGCAACCTGACGGGACTAAATGCCAGTGGCAATCGGCTACCTGATCATGAAAGGTATAGATCAAATATAAGACGCAATATTTGTAAGGTCACAGTCGACCCAGTAGGTTAACCTATTAATGATTTTTTGGCAGTGGAAAATGTGTCTGACTAACTGACTGTAAAGGTTTACATTAATAAAATCTTGTTCATTTCATATTCAAAACACATCCAGACTATCAGCAGGTAATAATGAAAAACTCACTTTTAAACTACATTTAGGCCTATTTGTCACATTATCTCCAGTAGGCCTATGATAACTATGATAGGAAAGATTCCTTTTCATTGATCAGTTTTATACAGATTAGTTTAAACAGGGATCACTGCAGTAATGTAGCCCACATTCAGTGTTTTCAGTAGTGTTGTAGTACTCGACACCGGCCTTGGTCTTAAGACCGGTCTTAAGACCACTTTTTGATGGTCTTGGTCTTGTCTCGGTCTCAACTGCATTTGTACTCTGTCTTGTCTCGGTCTCGGACATTGAGGACTCGGTATTTTATTTCAAGACCAGTCAAAACCATAACTTTGGGAATATCAATAAATTGCTTTTGCATTGTCTGATTTGTTAACTTCGTAACTTTGATTGGAAGTAAAACAAATTGCTTCAAATGCAACCAATAACCCTAATTAATGACTGTCACCCCTCCCCGTGATGCTTACGTTGATTTCAGCTCTTAGTGTTTGTATGTGGGTGTTTTAATGGTAATGTGGATCTTTCAGATCAATTTGAGAACTACCTATGATCTCGTTCCACATTTTATTGCGTGCCATGTAA